TATTAATTTCATTTGGTGACCCCTAGTTCTTATGTTATCAGAAGAAATAAATAATACTTCCTTATTTACTTTCTCCACACCAGTCATGATTTTATAGACCTCTATCATATCACCCATTCGTTACCTCTTTTCTAAGCTGAAAAGTCCCAATCTTATTAATCTCTCCTCATACGGAAGCTGTTCCATACTCCTAATAATTTTCTTTGCCCTTTTCTGAACCTTTTCCAAGTCCAATATATCTTTTTTGCAACGGGGCGACCATATCTGCACGCAGTATTCAAGATGTGGGCATACCATGGATTTATATAGAGGCAATATGATATTTTCTGTCTTATTATTTATCTCTTTCTTAATGATTCCCAACATTCTGTTTGCTTTTTTGACTGCCTCTGCACATAGAGTGATCCACATTGACTCCAAGATCTCTTTCTTGAGTGGTAACAGCTAATTTAGACCCTATCATTTTATAAGTATAGTTGGGATTATGCTTTCCACTGTGCATTACTTTGCATTTATCAACATTGAATTTCATCTGCCATTTTGTTGCCCAATCATCCAGTTTTGTGAGATCCCTTTATAGCTCTTTGCAGTCTGCTTTGGACTGAACTATCTTGAGTAGTTTTGTATCTTCTACAAATTTTTCCACCTCACTCTTTATCCTTTTGTCCACATCATTTATGAATATATTGAGTAATACTGGACCCAGTACCAACCCATGGAGGACACCACTATTTACCTCTCTCCATTCTGAAAACTGACCATTTATTCCTACCCTTTGTTTCCTACCTTTTAACTTTTTAACTGATCCATGAGAGGCTTTTCCCTCTTATCCCATGATAGCTTACTTTGCTTTAGAGCCTTTGGTGAGGGACCTTGTCAAAGGATTTCTGAAAATCTAAGTACACTATATCCACTGGATTCCCCCTTGTCCACATGCTTGTTGACCCCCTCAAAGAATTCTAGTAGATTGGTGAGGCATGATTTCCCTTTTCAAAAACCATGTTGACTCTTCCCCAACAAATCATGTTCATCTATGTGTCTGACAATTCTGTTCTTTACTATAGTTTCAACCAGTTTACTTGGTACTGAAGTCAGGCTTACCGGCCTGTAATTGCCTTGAGAAAGATGTTGGATCTTCACTAGTTGGGCTGCTGGAGAGGAGGCACAAGATACTGGTATGCTTTTTATCTCAGGGGAAACAAGGTGATGGCTGGAACAGCCTACTCCTACAGCATTTCTGCCATCTGAGTAGAAGCAGTGAAGCCAAAGGTGACACTTCCCCCTTGGATGAAAGGTTCCACAGTAGCTGTCTTGATGTGACAGGGAAGGATCAGTGAAGAAGAATCAATGAAAAAGGTAGCCAGGGACTGATCACTCAGTAAGCTGTTAATGCAATATGGATCCTTTCTCCTACAGGTCACTGTTTCATGGTTCAGTACCGACAAAAGTCACAACAAGGACCTAAAGTCCATGTGGAATGAGTTTGGTGTATCTTGTATCGAGTGGACAAGCATTCACATAACCATCATCATCATTACTGGTATTGACTGACACACTTGCTGGCAGTCTGTCAGCTGTGAGGTTAATGACTGAATGGATCATTGAAACTGGGCTACTTGCACACAGCTGAGGAGCCGCAGTGGGGCAGTGAAGGGAAATTTGCATTAGAACTGCCCATGATGTGCCTGCCTTTTTTGTAGCAAGAGACCATACATCTCCAGGTCTGTTAGTCTGGCACCGTTCCTGATCACTGAGACCCAAACGTTCAAACTTGGATGCTCAAAGTTAGGCACCAAAATTCATATTTAGGCACCTAGATAATTGCCCTGATTTTCCAGAATGCTGAGCAGTCATAACACAGGGTCAGTGACATCTGTGGGTGTGTAGTACTTCTGGAGATGAGGCCTTAGTGCACCCAAGTTTGAACACCTGGGCCAAAATGTCTTTTAACAAAAGAACAAATAAATAACAATGTCTTCTTCTGTGAAAATCTTCTCTCCATAATGACGATATGGGAATGTACCTACTTGGAAACAGTTTTATTTTTATTCTCTGCATCCTTCGAGGGGAAGTTTTTCTTAAAAGCTGCTTATTTCATTTAGTTCAGGATTTGATAAATTACAAAATATTGGCCAGATAAAAATTATAGCTGTAAAAACTGCATAGCAATAATCTCTTCCTGACATTCTATTTTCTTTGCTTGATTTTTACAATTTTTGCAAAATTAATGTTTTTTGCAGCTGATAAGAACAATTTTGAAGGGGAGGATAGAGATCTGGAATCTTTTTATATATGTAACATATGTATATGTAACATATATATAAATAAACCATTTTTTTTAAAATCATACAATTCAGCAACCATCTTTTTAATTTGGCTTAAAAGGTATATTTATAGCATGCGTGTTTTAGCAAATATTTAACAGATTTCAGGACCTGTAGGTTGCCTCTTTGCCTGTTACATTCTGATGTACCTGAAATCTTTGCACTAAAAGACTTTGGACATTTAATGGCGATGGTTCTAAACTTTGATACAAAACTTCTGTCTCTCACCCCACCCATCCATCCTTTCAGCACCTCCATAAGGCGTTTCAAACGTTGCAGCTCTAAACTTTTCCTCTCACAGACAAGAAGCCTATCAAAATTCTGTTCTAGCCTTCTTTATTTGGCATAGAGCCGTCCAGTGCTAAAATGAAATGCAGGCTTTCCAAAAAAAAAAAAAAAAAAAAAAAAAAA